CTCTTCCTGATGGAATTTCAGATCCAAGGGACTGCTGACAGGATATGATATCATAGGAATTTCTTCCACAGTGCATGCACTCCAGGACATCCTGCCTTCAAGATGGATTCAGACAGTGATCTAATAGCTGTGTCATTCCTGGAAGTCCCATCTCAAGGAGGGCAAGGCTGGGGGAGGAGGGAGAAGGTTAATTCAGGAAGTGATGCTTTAGACCTGGAACTGCTGTGCTGTATGATGCACCAGGAAGTTGCTCTTTTGAGGTGGGGCAGATGTCAATTCAGGAAGTGACATTATTGCCCTGCAAAATTTCCCCATCATCGCTGGAGCTGAGCTCTGAAGAACAGCACTCTGCGAAGCCCCTCTTTCTCAGGGCAGGAGATTTTATTTTTTATTTTTAATTGTATGCATCCCAGGCCAAATTAGCCAAAACTAATTCCAAATCCAAGAGTCCAAAGCCATAAGTGGCCCTACTACTGGCAAACATCCTCCACCCACACCTGGGGCTTCAGATGTTTCCAAATCCTTTGACGGGCATCCTACTTGCAGGCTCAAGCCCAGAGGCTTGGGGTTTGGATGCCCCCGAGTTTTTTTTGCCCTTAGCCATAAGACCCTCAGAGCAAGCTAGGGAGGAGACTCCTATTTCCATAAAGTTGGCTTAAAGCTGCTACACCTTGGCAGGTACTGAACCACACCAGAAGAGCAGTTCTCCCCAGGTGCACTTTAGAAAAATTGCCTTCATGGACACAGATATGTTGTATTTCCCCTGCCAGGTTAAGAACAGGAACTACGCTTGATCTGGGCCAAAAGGCTGAGAATCAGAGGCAGGACATGTTCAATCCAGAAGTGAAGACAGAGCAGAGGAGCTGTGCCAAGAAAGGCAGGAAGTCATGCCTCCAGCCCTGGGGGCAGCAATTGAGAGGGCTGGGTGGACATGGCCAGTGAGGGCAGGGCAGGGTGGGGAGCTGGACACAAGTGAATCACATGGTTCCCATGACCCCTCTGTGCATTTCCCTGCAGGTACTGAATGCAGGAGCCACTGCACTCCGTCCCATGGCCGTATCCGCATGAACCTGAGGAATTACTGCAAAAAGGACTATGGTAATGGAGACCTGGCTGTCCCACAAACCTGGCACCCATCTACACACATTCCAGCATGCACCCAACATCTATCCGTACCTATCACCACACATACCTGGCACCAATCCATCCATTCCCATAAACTAAGCCATCATCCATCCACACTTGCCCCTGCACACACTCTACTCATCCATCCATTCACTTCATATGCATCTCTTTTGTCTTTCTCTCTCCTGTCACACACTATCTATGTATCCCCACACACACTCTCCATCTGCCTGCCTATTCCAGGGCAGGGAGTAGGGGGTATACTTGGTATCTGTCTGAATTAAGGTGCAAAATTAAGGATCCCTGCTTCCTTCCACCTCCCACCCCCCTAGACCATGGGGACAGGCTGGCAGGGGCTCTCCCACGCTGTAGGGATGGCACAGATCCGGTGACTAGGCCCAGGGGACAAAGGGCTTTAGGAATTTAAGCTGCTTTTCTTCGGATTAGCAGGGGATAATCCATGCTGGGCGGCTGCACACTGCCCCCTCCCTGGCCTCTCTGAGCAGAGGGAGCAGCCAGGGCAGTTCACATGGACGGACACAAAGCAGAGAGAGCCCAGTTTCCCCTTCCAGCCTTTTCTACCACATCCTTTCCTATCCATCCGTCTGTCAATCTATCCACACCCACACACACCTCTGTTCTGTCTCCCTCTTTCTACCCATCTCCAGAGACCTTCAGTCTATCTACCCATCCACCCTCCTCACAGACCCTCATTCTGTCTGTCTGTCTCTTGGGTACTGAATCCTGTTGAGAATAGGTGGGTCCCTTCTGCAATCAGTGGGTATTTCTCTTAACTGTTGCTGGTAGGTTGGAGATGGGACGGTGGAGGTCTTACTGGAGAGTTTTCTGTAATATATGCCGGACTATCATCAGTACCAGTGGACCTCATCAGGTACTACTTGGTATCAATGGGCATTGTTGGACATGATTGGGTATCAGTTTACATGAACATGCATTGCTGCCTGTTATTGATTATTGGTGAGTTTAGTTAGACATTGAGGGGCATTACTGAGGGTCACTGGATGAGTATCAGTGGATGTGATTGGCTGCTAGTTGATATAATTCAATACTGCTGTCACAGAGTGGCCTTGTGTATTAGTAGGTTGCTGGAAGCTGTTGGCTAACTGTATATTGTTGATCACCAGTGGATATCATGGTATGCTGCTGCATAACACTGGGTATTATTTAATGTTATTGTGAATTGCTGGCTATCACTGAGTATCACTGGGTGTGGTTAGATATCATTTATTATCTTCAGACATCAGTGGCAATCACTATTATTGGTTATTGTTGGGTGTAATTGGATATCACCGTGAGGTATTGAGTATCACTGGATATTTCTGGGTATTATTGTTACAAGGTTATGTTGGGTACCAATAGGGATTGCTGTGTATCCTTGGGCATTATTGAGTATTAATGGATTTTACTGGACACGGCTGGTATTGTTGGGGATTTATGAATATATGTGGGTATTAGTTGGTGTCATTAGGAATTTTTGCATAACACTGGAGATCAGTGGCTATATGTTACTGTCAGGTAGTTGGCTGTGTTAATCTGAAGATAGTCAGAAGGCAGGTTAGAAATGAACCTTTATGGACTAAATGTTATTGGGCATCAGTTAATATTGCTGAGTATTTCAGGGTAATTTAAGGTTCTACTAGTACTCCCACTACTGCTGCAACCACTATTAGGTTTAATAGTATAACTTACAGCAAGATACTGTGTTGCTGCCTATTCTTGCTCATAGGAGGTGCTGTTGGGGATCAATGAGTATTAATGAGTACCATCAAACAGAATGGGATGTCCCTTCAGGTTGTTTGGGGTGTCTGGTAATTTGGGTTGTTACTGAGGGTAGCAGGGGCTTGCTGACTGTCACAGCATATTAGTGAGGAATCACTGGACAGTGATATCTGGGGATGAACTTTGGTGGGTATCACAGGGAGGTATGGAGTGTTGGTGGACATCCGTGGTTCAGCTTGGTGTGGTTGGATACTGTGGGGTACTAGTCACCACAGACAGGCGTCAATCAGTCTTTATCACTGATTAGCTCTGGGTATCACCAGGGACTATTGCGCACCTTTGGATATTGGTGGGTATCACAGGATGGATATAATCAGATGTTTTGTTTTGGTGGATATCTACCACCCTTGTGAGTGCCACAGTGCACAGCTGAGTATTGGTGGGGATCACTAGATACAGGCAAGCACTAACTTAGTGGGTGTCACTGAGCTCTGATGGGTCTTGATAGGCATTGTCTGAAACTGTTGTGTATTGGTGGGCATTAGTGAATATGTATTTATAGCAGTGAGCATGGCTGAGCACTAGTGCACATCATTGATTATTTGTGGGTAAGTCTCGCAGGATACTGGTAGGACTGCTTTCCATTGTTGGGTAGTGCAGGACATAGGTAAGAATTGCTGGTTAGTGTTGAGTGTTGAAGACTGTTGGATATTGGTGAGCTGGGTACTGATGCTAACTGTCACATGGTAGTGAGCTTTAAGTGGCACAGTCTCCTTAGGTACTGATAAGCATCACTAGGTAATATTGGATCTTGTTAGGTTGGAAAGTATCATCCAATGCTGAGGAACATCTTTGCAAGAGTATCCATAGGTGCTGGTATGCACTGTTGGGTACTCCTGGATAACATTACAGAGTATTTTGAGGGACTGAAGAATACTACTGGCCGTGGGTTGCTGGGTATGGGCATCGATCCTCAAGTTGTTGCTGGCTACTGGTGCGTGGCTTCTGCTCAGCACCATGCCCCCAACTGACTGCCTGTCTTACCCCCACAGTGCTGCACGCCCAGATCACGGCTGCAGAGGAGTCGGGCGAGTGGCAGAAGTTCACGGCCTTGGTGCTGGCCGTATACCGGCAGCGAAGTGTGCCGATCCGCCGGGGCAAGCACCCGCTCTGGGTGCCCCAGCAAGACCTGGCCTGCGACTGCTTGCGGCTCCAGGTGGACAAGGCCTACCTGGTCATCGGCAATGACGCCGAGTCCCCCGACCCCGCGCGTCTGGTGCTGGACAGGAACAGCCTGGCACTGCCCTGGAGGGATGCCTGGGCACACAAGTTGCGGCGCTTCCAGCAGCAGAACCGGCGGGGGCAGTGTCGGGTGCCCTGACACCACCGGGCCCCTCCAGACACCCCTGTGGCCTGGGGGAGCGGCCATCGCAGGAGACCTGGGGGTGGGGAGCAGGGGCGCTTGGGGCAGGGCCCCAGGCCGGGTACCGGGGGCTGGCTGTCTTCCAGCAGCCAGGACTTTGGCTCCTTGAGGGCCTCCCGCCACTGCTGCAGCCCAGGAGGCAGCAGAGACCAAAGAGCCGCCCCGCGGGGCCCGGGCGGCCGCCTCCAGCGAGCACTGAATAAAATGGAGATTATTGTATTCGGCGCCCGGCCGGGGGGGCCTTCCCGCTCCAGGGCCCGCTGGCCCGGGCCCAGCCGGGGGGGCTGTTATGCGGCGGCCCAGGTGCGGGGCGCGGGGGCGGCGCATGGCCCTGCCCCGCCGCGCCCCGGGGTCCGACACCAATCGATTCGGCACGGGCCTGACCCGGGGTGGGGGCCCGGCACCCCCTCGCCCCGCCCCGTCCCGTCCCGCCGGGGCCGGGAGCGGCGGCGGCCCCTGGCGGGCAGCGGGGGCAGGGCGCCCGCAGGGGTCGCAGAGACAGAGGCCGCCGGCGGAGGACACTTCACGCAGCCCCCTCCGTGGGTCACGCGGCCGGTGCGTCACATGACGGAGGGCAACTCCCCCACTCTCCCGGAAGTCCGCTCCCTCCCCATTGGTCGCCCGCAACGCGTCCCGCGTCCCCATAGGCTCGCCCCGCTCCAGGCCCCACCCCCGCCCCTCCCTCCCTTGAGCTGGGCCGGGGGGGCCTGACCCCGAGACCCTGTACGGGCGGCGCGCGTCTGGCTGGTGTCGCGTGCACAGGTGTCCCCCTTGGGGCAGCGCGAAGGCAGGGGGCGCTGGGGCTTCCCAGCCCGTCCCCGCTGCTCCGGGCCCCTCTGCACGCCGGGTCGCACCCCAGGGCAATCCGTCTGTTCCGCCCCCGCTTCAGGACCCTTTGGGTTTTTCAGAAGCCTTCGCAAAGGAAAGTCTTCCGAAAAAAAATCAGTTTTAACAGGGCCCCGGGGGTGCGGGAGCTGCCCCGATCCCCGAGTCTGGCGTGGATGGAGGCGCTGGAGGAGGAGTTTGGGGGTGAGGGGGAGCAGGGCACCCCCTGGGGGGATGAGGGGCTGGTGGGGGCACTGGCAGCAGGGCTCTATGGGGAGCTGGAGCACCTGGTGGGGGCCCATGGCCCCACAGTGGTGGCAGGGCTGTTACCCCAGCTGGTGGCTGCGCTGGAGGGGCTGGAGCAGGCAGGAAGGCAGCTCCAGGACCAGGACCATGCCCTGGCTGCCCTGCATGAAGACCAGGCCCGGCTGCTGAGCCAGTACGAGCGTGAGCGGGCCGGACGTGCCCGTGCCGAGGAGGTGAGCCACTCGCAGGCCCCTGCTACTCCCTCATCCCCTTGGTTCCCCATTCCCTTCACCTTGTTGTCCTGCTGCCCTGTCAAGCTCCTATCCTCCCCAGCTGCACTTCACCAGGTCCTCACACCCCTGCCAGCCCCTGCTTCACTATCCTCCTGCCCCACAGACACCTCTGACCCTTCCCTGCACCCCTGCTATATCTTCCTGCTTTCACTTCCACAGAGCCCTGTCTCCCCCCACCTCTGCTATGTCCTAGGTCCAGGTCATGCCCCTCACTCCTGACCCACAGCCCTACTGAGACCCCTGCTCCATACCTATCACTCCGAGCCCACCCCCCTCATCTCGGTAGGATGTCTTCATTCCTGATCCATGGACCCCTGTGTGGTAGGGGCAGAAAGAGGGCATGGGTTGGGGTGCCTGGACTCCTGGGTGCCCTGTCAGCATGGCGTTCCCCACAGCGGTACATGGAGCTGGAGGACGCAGTGGAGCAAGAGCGGAAGGGGCACCGGGCAGTGCTGACCCTGCTGGAGGGGCAGAGCCGGCTTCTGGAAGGCAAAGCGCGGGCCTATGCTGACCAGGGTGAGCCCCGCAGAGTGGTTGGGCAGGATGCAGAGGTACAGAATCAGGACTTGAGAATTCTTGGGAGAGCTGGGCAGTCCAGAGTATCTTGGGAGTAGGGGAGAGGTATGTATGTCAGTCAGTGCTGTCTCAGAGTGCTGGAAACCCTACAATAATACACCATTTTGACAGACTTTACCCGTTCCTGTGCATGCCGGGAGGGATAGGCAGTGGCAGGGTGGGTCCCCTTTACCCCACCCCTACTCAGAACAGTGCTGGAAGTGGGGGTGGAGTGTAGGCAGCAGCAATGGATGCAGGCTCTGGGCAGGCTCTGGCAGAATAACAAGGTCCTTCCCTGCAGTGGCCAGCCTGGAGGAGCAGAAAGCTGCCCTGCTCAAGGAGCTGTCAGCCCTGGGCCAGACCCATTCTAAGGTGAGTCTCCTTCCCCTGAATCAGACTCCTGCATCTGCCCTGAATGGCCTGCTTGTCCCAACCCTAACCTCTGCCTGTACCCCTTTTCCTTGTTCTTTGGTCCTGCCTCTGCATGACTCCATCCCCTTTTGACTCCTCTTGGCATCTGGTCCTAACCCTGGTTGTGCTCCATGGCATCTTGGGAACCATGGTGAGTGGGTGGGGGCAGTAGGGCACCTTACCCATCCTTGGCCTGTCAATGCCTCCCCTGCCCAAGCTTCCTGCACTCCCATTACCCTAACTGTGTCATTGGCAGGTGGTGAAAAGCTACAAGGAGCTGAGAGCCCAGAAGCAGCCACTCCCTAGACCCTCTGTCCCACAACCCAGCAGGTGCAAGCTATGGGTGGGGTAACAGAGGGCTCAGCAGGGGTGCTGTACTGCTTGGGATGGGATGGGGCCTGGGTGGTGGAGCCATGTAGTGGGGAGTTGGGGGCATTGTGTTGTGGGATTGGGGCTCAGCATGATTGTCTGGTCTTTGACCTCTTTGCCCCTTCCATTAGCACCCCAGAGCCCCCACAACCAGCCCCCAGCCTCTTGGAACCCAGGTGCCCACAGCCTTATGCTTTCTGCAAGGTGGGTCCTCTCTTCTGCTGTATTGTGTAATGGGGGACCAGGGGGAGGAGTTCACCTGACTGGGGAAAAAATATGCATGTATCTTGAGGTGCCCCTCAAGTGGGCATGTTGGCTGTGGGGCTCTAGACAGCTCCTCTTATATGGGGGTTCTTCTGTGTGGGAGCACTATGGAGGAGGGAGATCCTGGACCCAGCAGGTCAGGGTGTGAGGGTTGTTCCTCCCTGCGTTGGGGGGTCCTGGATCTGTTAAGGTGGAGCATAGAGGGGGGGCCCCATACCAGTCCCTGCAGGTCCCACTTCCATGATTCCCTCATTAATTGGCCCCCTGGGGTGGTTCTGGGGTACAGGGCTCTGTGGAGGACCCAGATGCCACCTTACCACCTGTGTCCATCAAGACCCCAGAGGATGGGCAGAGACGCCCCAGGAACAGCCGCCCACTGTCCCAGGAGCTGCCTCTTCTGGAGGGAAATGGTAGGGACAGCAGTCTGTATCCTATGGGGCCATCAGCCTAGTCTAGCTCCATCCCAGGAGTGCAGGCTGGAGCAGGAGCTGTGGGCAGAGTAAGAGGGCTGTGTCCCACAGAGGTATTGTCCCCAATCTGGTCTCAGGGCAGGTGGGTGGGGGTGGAGTGGCTTACATTGGGAGATGGGGATGGAGGCTGAGACCCCCTTGACTCCCTACCATGGGGGGGCTTTGCTGGTGTCTAGGCCACCTGGAGCTGTGCCAGCACACGGAGTTGGATGAGATTGTGCGTTCCACCCCAGAATTGGAGCCCCAGCCAGAGCTCCTGAGCAGGTACTGGAAAAATGGGGAGGGGTGGACCATGGGGGACTTGCTTGAAACCAGCACCCACAGCCTCCTCCTTTGGGAGCATGGGGGGCAGGGGAAAGGAGGATTTGAAACCCCAGTGCTTTGAGTGTTGCTGTGGAGGGAGGTACTCAAAACCACTAGAGAAATTCCCCATGCTGCTGGGGAGGAAGTGCAGACTGCAGCTGCCAGGGTGGGGGGATGGTGGGTTTCAACTGCTGTAAAATCCACCCAGCTGGGAGGGGGACCTGGAACTGCCCTGCTCCCTCATACTCTGTCCTCTGGGGGGATGGGGGCTTCCTTTGCCTTTGTGACAAGCATGGGAAGCCCTGGGGGTTGCCCAGCTCTGATATAGTGGGGGAAAGCCTCTGGGGCCACCCAGCTCTGACTGAAGGGCTCTGAGAGGCAACCCAGCTGTGACAGAAGGTGTTTCTTCCCACAGCACCCCAGACCCAATGCCACCAGAAGACCTTGAGCGCAACACAACATCATTGTTTGCGGAGGTGTCGGGGCTTGGTCTGGAGCTTATTGAGGCCCTGGATGATGGGGCTGATTTGCAGGGTACGGTGACACCTGAGCTCTGAATCCCAGAACCCAGGCCTCAACACCTGAGCTCTGATCCCAAAACCTCCCCCACCCTGCCCTGAACCCCAAACTTGGCCTCAGACCCTGGCACATGCCTCACATCCCTCCTCTCTGTAGGACCCTTCAGCCTTGGCCATGAGCCACCACCCCACCCCACCCCACCCCACCCCACTCCACCCAGTTTCATATTGATAGTTTGAGGGCAGTGAGGGGCTTGCTTTGCTCCTGGCTCCCCCTGTCCCAGCCAAGGCATGCCTCCACCACAGCCCTGAATTCCCCAAGTAGGCACAGAGCTACTTAACCCCTCCAGTGTAACCCTAGAACCCCATTTAACCTCATAGGGCTCTGGGTCTGACTGTAGGCACTGACTGCCCAGGCTTGTCCCCTCATGAGGCAGAACAGCTGGGGGTCCCTGCCCTGGGGGAGTAGAGTCTCCCTGTCTCCCACACTGACACCTCCATCTGTGGCTACAGGGGATGCCATACAGGTGCTCGTCAAGGAGAATGCCAACCTCCGGAAGGTGAGGTAAGGGCCCCCCAAGCCCCCGCACCCTAGGACCCCAGCTTGGGTCACCCTCTGCACCCACTGGCCCTGGGCAGAGACCTTGCACACTTATGGCATGGGTATCTATCTCAGGGTCACTACTCTCCACAACTCTCTTGGCAAGTTAGACTCTGCCCCTACCACCACCCTTGGTATAGCTTGGGCCTCTCTGTCTGTTTGCAGGCATGAGTTGGAGGTAGCACGCTGGCACCTAGTGGCACGTGTGGAGGAGCTGAGTGCGGAGCGTGAAACACTGCGAGGGGAGTGTGATACTGCCTCCCGCACCCTGGGATGCTGTCAGGCCCGGCTGGATGAGACTGAGGCTGCGCTGGCCAGGTGAGGGGTGGAGAAGAGTGGGACCTTTTATCGCCTTGCCATAGGAAGCATTTGGCAACCCCCCCGGGAAAACTGATGGGCTCTACACCCCAGGTGTGCCACTTGGGAAGCAGGACTAGGAAGGAGCCTCACTTCTGACATGCAGCCCTGTCGTCCTCCCCTGCATGGCACTCTTTTTATTCCCAATCCCCATCCTCCCAGCCCTAGGACCTCAGCCTTGCCAGTGCCCCTCTGTCCCCAGCCTCCCATCCAGGGCTTCTTTCCAGCCCAGCCTGCCTTCCAAGGCCTCTATGTGTCTCTCACTCTGCATTGTTCATTTCCCCTATTTCAGGCTGCGACAGGAGTTGGAGGAAACTAAGAAGCAGAACAATGATGCTGAGGTACTACTGGGACCCTGAATACCTGGGTCCTCTCCCAGCTGGGAGGGAAGTGGGGTCTGGTGGTTGGAGGGTTAGGGCTGGTAAGCAGGACTCAGGTTTTGTCTTGGTTCTGGCAGCAGAGGGGTCTGGTGAGATAATGGCAGTGGTGGGGTGTGACTGGGAGTCAGGATGTCAGCCCTAACATGTTCCCTCTGCAGGCTGAGGCCCCAGTATCGCAGCGGAAGCGATTCACACGGGCAGAGATGGCAAGAGTGCTCACTGAGCGCAACCTGTATAAGGAGCGGGTCATGTAGCTGCAGGGGGCTGTAGCTGCAGGAGGCTGTACGACGCACAGAGCTGCTCAGGTCAGATGCGGCCCTGGAATGCGCTGCCTCTGGGGGTGGGCAGAGCCGGGGGGCTCATGACCCAGGGATTCCTTGTCCAGCACTGAGATGCGGAGACCTCTGTGGTGGTGCATGGAGTGCACAGGCCATGGTTGGCTGTGTGGATCTGTCATTAACCCCTTTAACTTGGACACAAGTGCCAAGGGGGTGAGGGGTGCAGGGCTCCAGGATCCCAGCTCTGATGCCATGCATCTCCCTCTTGTCTCAGGGCATCACGGGAAGTGCAGGCAGCTCAGATGAAGAAGTCTTCCTTCTGGAAAATGTGAGTCTTTTTCCCCCCCTACCTCTCTACTTGCACCCTTGCTGAGAGCCCACCTCAGCCAGTGCTCCTGCCTTGCATCCCCTACTGAGGCTGATCTCCATCTCATCTTCATCTTTCTCTTCTTTCTCCATAGCTTTGACCGTTTGTTTAGCCCTGGTGACTCCCCAGAGCGGGCCCCAGTGCAAGCCACCATGTTGGGGAGGTCTGGACCCCGCTCCAGCACCACCACTGACCCCCGTTGGAACAGTGGGCAGATTCCCACAGTGGTGAGATACGTGTCTCGCTCAGCCTCACCTACAAAGTGAGTAACAAGTGGTGGGGGTGGGGTGGACATGACCTAGCAAGGAATCTGAAGGGGCATCACTTAGTGCCAGGCTGGGGGAGATGATTAGGGCAGAGGGGGTGGGGTGGTGGAGGATGGCACCATGAAGTGTGAGGCTGGGAGAGTTGGCACAGAGGGCAGCTATCCCAATGCACAACACTCCCTAATGTCTGTCCATCCCCAGCTCTGTGGAGTCCCCCAGCCTGTCCCCACAGCAGCAGAAGCGGGACCTTTACCGCCAGATCCGGACCCACATTTGGAGGGAGCATGGCCGTGCCCAAGTCCATGGCTGGAGTCTCCCGCACCCTCACCAGGTAAAGCTCCTCTTCCCCCCCCCCCCCCCCCCCAGCTGGGGTTGGAGGGTGTCACATAGCAAGCACTGTTCCTTTAAGTTATCTTGGGTAGGCACTGGTGGGGTGCCCTCTAGTGGGTAGAGGCCCAGCCTGCTCCTCCCATTGCAGGGCACCAATGAGACATCAGGGAGCAATAAGGATGTGCCCAGGCTGCTTCAGCTGCACCTGCTGGACCAGAAGGATCCCAGTACCAAGGTGAGCAGTGTTTGGGGATGGGGAGCAAAATGAGGGCACTGGGGGGGCAGGCAACAGGGTGCAGTGATGCGTGTCGGGGGGGGCCCACACCCACCCCCAGAGGCAGGTTATCTCTGTATCCTGGGTGTGGTTGGTTCTGGTGTTTCAGGGGGCATTGGGGTGTGAGGATGGACTGCTGTCCCATGCCTTTCCTCCTTCCTTTCAGCTGTGGTGCGCGGCTAGTGCAGGGATACTGGGGCCGGATGTCAGTGACTCGGTGAGTGTCGGGGAGTCCCCCAGCTAGGGGGCTGAGATCTTTATCACTTTACTCTGGGGCTCACATCTCTGAACCTCCATTTCTGGCAGGTCTAGAGCTGTGTCCACCCCCCTCCTTGACCACCTGTTGGTGCTTCTCTATCCCTGGCACCCTGGAAATGGGGGGGGATTCCTCTAATCTCAGGGTGTTTGTGCCCCCACTGCTGTTTTGAAGAGGAACCTGAGCAGTGTCATTGTCTTGGTGTGCTCCCTTCTTCCTGCAGCCCTATCTGGGCAGGGCCCCCCTCTCCCGTGTGGTCCTCCCTATTTCTTGGTGGTCCCTTGGTCTGTCTTGGCCCTGGATCCAGTAGGGTGCCCTGCATTAAGCCATGTAATGGCATATGTCTCCTGCAGGCTGTGCCTGCCAGCCTGGTATGGGTCTGTTCAGGGACCCCATCGGCCAGCGAGGTGATGGTCCTTGATGTTATGCGCCCCAACCATGTGCTGGACCAGTTTGTTTTGCCTCATGCCCACGTGGTCTGTGCTGCTTGGCTTCCTGGTGAGTGTGGAGGGGGTACTGGGGAGCCTGTAGTGACCTTGAACATATGGACTCGGTCCATACAACTAAACCCTAGGGGACTGGATTTGGACTGCGTGTGGAGTCAGGTGGAGTTTTATAGGAACCTGAGCAAATAAAGGAGCAGTCTGTGCACCAGGAGGGTTGGCTAGGAGAGCTGTATAGATGAGGCTAAATGGCAGGAGGTTAGGTAGGGGCTCAGGTAGTGTGTGGATGGATAAGGAAGGATGTTTTAAGGGAGCTGTGTGGACCAGGATGGAAGAATTGAGGGCTGTATGGGTGGATGGAGGATGGGTGTATCAACCTAGCCTGGGGTCTGAGGCCTATGCTGGCAACAGCATAGACCAGGGGTTGTCAAATGAGGGTACGCGGGAAGGCCCCAGGGAGTACGTGGTGGCAGTGTGGAGGAGCGGGGGTACTTGGGAAGCATGCTGTGTGCTGCTGCCTACTGCTGTGCGCTTGCTGCCGCATGTGGCAGTGGCAGGTGGGTGGTGTATGGCATCACCACCCGCCCCCACCCGCCTCATTTACCAGCTGCTGGGGGACCCCTCTCCCCTGCTTGTCCAGGGGTACAGTCCAGGAGGGGTACCCACCAGAAGGGGTACATTCCTTAAAAAAGGTTGATAACCCCTGGCATAGACTGGTGCATCGAGAGTAGAGGGAGGAGGGCCTGCATAGACCAGCTTGGAATATGTATGGATAGGCCAGGTAGTAGGTGGGAGTCTGGACTAGGCTCAGAGGTAAAATAGAGCAGGTCCTGTATGGGCAGGGGTGGGTGGAAAGGAGCTTTCTGTGGATCATTTTAGGTACAGGGCAGGGTCTATATGGACTAGTGTTGGACATGTATCCTTTATGGTCTAGGGGAGCCTGTGTGGGCCAGGTTAAAGTTGCTCTGGCCCCAGACCTCTGTTTCACAGGCTCTGCCCTGCTCCTGCTTCAGGTTACCAGGTGTCCATGGAGCAGAGCACAGAGCTGAGCCCTGAGATTCTGGATGACCCCCTGGCACCTAGATCCCCAGAGGTGGAGGAGGGGATTGCAGATACAGGCATTGCCAGGATGGCTGCCACCATGTGGCTGGGCACCCAGGAGGGCAGGTAGGGAGAGACTGTGGTATGGACAGCTCCTGGACATGCCTCACTACAGAGGTGGCTGCATCTCGGCACTGGGTGAGGGGTCTTTGTATAACCAGTCTCCAACGTATCCCACCTCAGAGACAGCTGCATCTCAATGCCATCCTGACCCTGTTCTCCTTCTCAGCATCTTTGTATACTCGGCTGTGTCTAATTGGCGCCAGTGCCTCTCCAAAGTCCAGCTCAAGGATGCCGTCCACAGCATTGTGTGAGTGTGGGGGGGATAGGCAATGTTCAGGGCTGCTCCACTTGTGGTCCCTATGGTCGGCCCGCCACCCCGCCACTTGCCCCCTCCATACTAGGGCTTCATGCTGGCCATGGGGCACAAGGTCTGGTACAGCTACTGCAGTTGTGTCTATGTGGCAGAGCCCTGTGGCACCTGCATTGAGCTGCAGGGAGGGAGGCATCTGGAGTAGATCTGGATCTGTGGGAACCCAAGAGAACAGCTGGGTGGGGCGTGGGGGAATAAGAGAGCCTGGGCTGGGGAAGGTCCCTGATTCATGCTGTTGCTGTCTGCCCAAGAGCATTGTGGGTAGGTCCTGCTTGGTGCAAGTGGTTGGGGGCCCATTCTGGCCGCATATCTCTCCCATTGCAGCCACGCTCAGGGGCATGTGGTGGCTGCACTGGGGGACGGGACCCTGGCCATCTTTCACCGCAACGATGGTGAGTTCTGCCCCTCCACCTCTTCCCCTTCCCCTGCCCTTATTTTATTCCCTCCTGCACTTACCCTGCATACTCTGCCTGCAGCCCAGTGTTGGGACCTGGCACACCCCCACCTGCTGGACCTGGGCCGCCCACACCAGTCCATCCGTTGTGCCCTGGCTGTGGGGGGCAGGATCTGGTGTGGCTACCGCAACCGCATCCATGTGGTAGAGCCCCGTGGTGCCCGCATCAAGGTATGTGTGGGCTGGGGAGATAGGGAGTGTGTGTGGTGGGGAGCAGAGAAAGATCTGTGGGATCAACTTTGGGAGGAGGAAGAGATTATAGGAGAGGGCACTGGGGCAGGGGGATCTCCTGGGATCCAGTCAGCCTGGCTGGAGAGAGGCCCTGAGGGGAGATTCCATGTACCCATGAGGTTCTTAGTCAGGGTAACTTTTGGGATTTACCCTGGCAATGTCAGCAGGGGATATACTAAGGGCATGTGTCTCTCCCAGACAAGAGCCTGGGGAGATCTGGGAGAACACCAGGCAGGAATCCTGAAGAACCAACTTGAGCAATACTTGGAGATGCAGGAAGATGTCACAGGTTCCACTCAGATATCCCATGTGATTGGCTTGGGTGTTGTCAGTAGATCTTTGGACGGACACACCCACACCCACACCCACACACACACACACACACACACACAATCTGCTGTGATCCCATGAGGGTGGGGCAGGAGATTCAGGACAGGTGGATCCATGGGGTGGGAGATCCTGGCTGGCTCCTGACAGTTTCCCCTTCCCTGCAGCGGTCCTTTGCGGTGACTTCACGCCCTGAGAGCCAGGTGCGGCACATGGTGTTGGCAGGTGCTGGGGTGTGGGTGTCCGTGCGACTGGACCCTACCCTGCGCCTATTCCATGCAGGCACTGGGCAGCCCCTGCAGGAGGTTGACCTGGAGCCCCTCATCCATGGCATCTTTGGTGAGGGGAAGGGAGAGTCAGCTCCAAGGTTTGCCAGCCCTGATCCAACCTGGGTGGCAAGTGCCTTTCTCTGACAGGAGACACCAGCTCCAGTCCAGTCCTGGGGGGTATCTGTGAGGCGGGGAGGTCCCCATCTGCAACAGAGGGTCTCACCTTGCATATTTCTCCACAGGCCCTACCACCCTGGGCTTCTCCCTGCAGGTGTCAGCACTTGGTGCCTTTGCCCAGCGCCTCTGGGTGGGTACTGCCAGTGGCACCATCCTCACCCTGCCCTTTGCCCCTGGTGAGTCCCTGTGTGTGTGCACGCATGCATGCATGCATGTGCTGTGCACAGCATGTGTGGAATATTACCCCTTGCTGATGTGGAAGAGCACAGTACTGCTTCCTGCTTGTGTGTGGGTGTGCATATGTGTACACTTGCATAGGCATGTCTTTGCCATGTGGGTCAGTGGGTGGGTACTTCCCTCCCCCACAGTGGGGTTTTGGGGTAATCTATTATGGACTTCCCCCTTGGTGGTGGGTGCTCTGTGCCCGTGCACCACCTATCCCTTCCCGTTACAGAGTTCACAGGGGACTCTGAGGCTGCCATAGCTCCAGGCTGCCAGCCCAGTCCCTTGCCTGCCAGTGCCCAATACTGCGCCATGGAACAGGCACAGGCCTCCTACCATGGGCACCGTGATGCTGTGCGCTTCCTTATCTGCGTCCCAGGTATGTTTGGATTCCATCCTGGCTGGGGGGATTGAGAGAGGAGTGGGGTCTGGTGCGTTAGAGCTGGGAGGCTGGGAGCCAGGGTTCTTGGGTTCTTTCCTAGTCCTGGGAGGAGAGTGGAGTTTGGCGGGTTGGAGTAGGGAAGCTGGGAGCTGGGACACCTGAATTCTGTCCCTGTGCTGGGGGTATGGAGTTTCTTTTGCTTGGCCCCTGGAGTTTCACTCCTGCTGTGAGCCCAACTGAGGTCCATCCTGGCAGTACCCTTCTCTCCTTACCCCTTCACTATCAGGGAGCACTAAGAGCCTTCAGAAGGGGGAGGGACCATCATCACCTTCTGCCCTGGTGCTGAGCGGAGGGGAAGGCTATATCAACCTCAGGATTGGTAAGTGCCTGCTGAGGGCAGGGCTTGGGATACTGCCCATGACACCCCACCCCAGAGGTAGCCGGTTCTTGGTGCGAAGCAAGGGGGCTTAGGTGGGGTGTGGGATGGGGGAGGGCCTGGGGTGGGTGGGTGGGGGAGACCTCCTGGCCCCTGTGACCCTGTTTCCCTCTTGCCCTTTGTAGGGGACGACTCAAATGAGCAGTTTGGAGATCTGCTGGTGCCCAACCCCCGCCTGCGACGCTCAGAGCGCAGCCACCTCATCATGTGGCAGGTCCAGGCCTGAGGCCATACCCATGGGCACCTCTGACTGCTGCCTGGGCCCGGGGGTCCTAGAGTTTTCTCCTCTATCTCAGCAGCTCCAGTGGTTGGTCCCAGAGGCTACAAGCTGGACCCAAGCCAACTGGGAGCCGCATTAACACTCTGCTGCCCAGGGCAGGGCAGGACAGCTATATTCTCTGCAGGGGTGACTGGAGTTGGCTCCTCCCTCTTCTCTACCCCCAACCTGAGGGTTGGAGGCCCTCCCCCAGCTCTGTTCCCATCCACCCTGCACTGACCCTCTACCCCCATATCCCTGCAGTGGGGGGAAGGCATCCGTCTGGGACAGACTGCTGCCTCTGTGTCTGCTTCTTCCCTAACTCACTGTCTGCACCCCTAGACCAGGTACCTCCAGAGAGGTGTCACAAGCTCTGGATCCTTCCATCTCCGTCCTGCCCACCCCCCTCCTTCCCACCAAAAGAAAAAGGCTTCTTGAAATTGTTCTTCCTTCTTCCCCATTCTTGACTCAGGAAAGCACCCAGCTGCTCAGGACCAAAGGTCACCAGCAGCCCTTCCCACATGCACAGTATAGGGCTACGGTTCCCTGATAAGATTCCCTTTGTTTAGGGGACTGCCTGGACAACTGGGGTCATCCCCAAGCCTGGCCCTTGCCTTGTGCTTCTAACTGGGGGTGGGCCTACTGTCACACTCAGGAGTATAGAGGGCAGCTGCCCTCAGAGGAATGTTTACAGCACCCCCCTACCTCTTGATTAAGCCCCATCCTCCAGGTCCCCCCTCTTTCCCACCCTGGCTGCTCTGACTGCCCACCCTGCTGTGGCCCTTCCTTCGATGCGGAGGGATGGGAGCAGCTCAGAATCAGACCCTGAGCCTGGCCCCTGCTCCCAGTTGAGGGGCTTGGTGGCTTAGAACAGGGGCACAGCAGTTGGATGCATGGGTAATATTCCTACTTCTGGCCCCTCTCCCATGCCTGTTTCCCTCCACTCCAGTCACTCCATGTTTAGCAGTTCTGACTGCAGGGAACACCCCTTGTGGCCTGGGGACAGGCAGTGGGGTGAGGCTGCAGCAAGATTTCCTCCTAGGGAGGTGCATTTCGGGCTGGTGAGATGCCTTTGCTGCTACAAGCTCAGGGCTGGGCTTTGCCCCATGTCTGTCTGTCCATTCATCCCACACTGCCTCTGCAGAGTGGGCAAAGCCTCATTTTTCTATGGGAAGGTTTCTAATAAAGCTTTATTTTTTCTGGCCTGAAATGGCTGTGGTGTTTTGCAGCCTGCACTTGTTGGGGTGGGATGTGATCTGCTTCCCTGTCTTACCTGTGCCTCTCACTTACAGCCCTCAGACCCCATGCCCCCTCCCTGCTGCAGTGGGTTGCCAGGCAGGGCTCTAGAATGCCTGGGTTCTGTGATGCAGTGCTGGAGACCAGGACCTCAGTGGCGCTGCGTGGCTCTGACCCATCTGTCCACACTGCCCAAACCAGTCCTGAAGAGGCTCAGAGGGGGCAACCTTGCCCCTGCACTTTCCCCACGGCTTGCAGGGGCTGACCCTTGCATGAGACCAGAGCTGTCCCCTGCCCCCCAAGAGATGAGCCGGGGCTGCCCACCCCCAGGGCCCCACCTGGCTCTGCTCGGCCTTCTCCTGTCACTGAATCCTGGGTGTGCTGGTGAGAAGGCACTGACCCCTGTGGGGTCACTGTGGGGAAGATGGGGCAGGAAAAAGGGCCCAGGTGCCTGGGGGATCAGTGACCGGGGGGGGGTGGGGGGCTCACCTCATGGGGCTAGTTATGTACTTGACTCCAAGGAGAGGGGACATGGATGGGATCTTAGTGTGTCTGAGCAAAGCTGACTAGAACCCAGGTCTCTGGGAGGCTAGTACAGAGATGGGGAGGAGTGGGGGAGGGCAGTGTAGGTCAATGCTTCCAGCCTTTTAGATATGGGTGTGAGTAGATGTAAGTGGGGAGGAGTCAGCCCTGATCTCATCATCTTCCTCCCAGGTTTCAAAGGGATCTCCAACTTCTTCAAACCACTGAGTAAGTAACTACCCCATTTCAAACTGCCCTAACCTTGCAGCCCCACAAACTCCCTACCCCTTAACCATTTCCCTCCTCTGCTCCTTATGGTCCTTGCCGTTCCCCTGGGGGTGAGGGTGGGACTAACTAACAGTATTGCTCCCCCACCCAGCCTGCAGCCAGTTGCCTGCCCTGCGCAAGACATGCGGGGGCAAAGCAGAGAGCTTCTACCCCAAGCAGTGTCTGCAACAGAAGTGCTGCCACTACAATGGAACCTGCTATCACCATGTTATCGATGGTGCGTGCCCTAGGGGACCCACCCCCATGCCCTAGGGGACCTGCCCCACCCAGAGCTAGTTGTACTCCACCCTGCCCAAGCTAGCCACATCCTTCAATCCCCCAGAGCCAGCTGCACTCAGTGCCCCACCCCAAGCCAGGCTCAGCTCTGCACCACCCCAGAACCAGCCATCTCCCCACATCTTGTCCCAGAGCCAGCTGTACCCACACACTTGAAAGTGAGTCCCTGCATAACCAGCATGCGACATGCTCCACCCCAAAGGATGCTGCCTCTTCATGCTAAGCCCCACCCTAAGCCCTCTGTCTCCATGGCAGGAGTCCAGCAGCGCCGCAATGCTGGGATCCTGGGTGGGAGCTGTGCTGGGGCTGCGCTGCTGTTCTTGTCCATCTTCATTGGCTGGTAAGTGCTGGGGGATCTCGCATGGAATGGGAAAGAGGAGCTGCAGGCTCTCAAGCTCATGGCAGCACCCTAGGGCCTGGCTGCATGGATGATTCCTACAGGCTGTTTGTTCAGACTCCTGGGTTCAAGGCTGGCCTCTCACATTGGCTCTAGGTTCAGACTGGGAAGAGGTTTGGCTAAGAACCCAGGAACAGAGGGAGAAATTCCACAAGGAACAGAAGAGGCCTTTCCTCTCCCCTACCCCTCATCTGGCCCAGGGGGGTGGGGAGAACTACTGGCTCAGGGGCCCATGGTGGGACAAGGGCCTTTCCTTTAGGCCATTTACCCCAAATCTGTCCTCCGAGCTAGGATAGAGCCACCCCACTCCCCTCCCTGAGCCCCACCAGTTGTAACTGACTGGGCCCCTCTGTCTTCCCAAACTGGGAGAGAACCCAGGTGTCCTGACCCACATCTGGTACTCTGGTAGCAAACTGAAGGGCTCACAAGCGAAAGAAAAGCCCAGCTCAGAATGGAAGGACAGGGACATGGCCGATTTCCTCATGAAGCTGATGGACAAAAGCGACGAGAGCGACGAGGAAGAGGAGGAACAAGTACAGAAAAGACTGCAGGAGACAGAGTAGGGGAGCTGCTGCTCCTGCTGGAGCAGCCCCAGCCTCCCAATAAAGTGCTAATATTTTCCATCCAGTTTTGCCTCAGCAGCACCAGGTGAGAGGTTCCTGTGTAAACAGACCGTGCGCTCCACCCTGGGAACAGATGCACCTCAGCATCTGGTACTCCCCCAGCCCTGCCTCCTGCTTCAGCTATGGGCCCCCCACCCAGGGAGGGGGAGTTGCAGCCAGTTCAAGCACCTGGGGATCCAGCTTGCTCCTACATATGAAGGAGGGGGCACCAGGTGCTGAGACCCTTGCACAAATGAATGGGGCACCCATAAGCCTCTCTAGAGGGCACCAATCACAATCTAGGCCAGTGCTTCCCAAACTTTTCCTCAGCATGACCCCATTTCCTCAGCATGGCCCCTCACTCCCAGCCCCTGCCAGTACCCCTCACTCCACACCTGCAGCCCCCTACCCTCCCCAGGAGCCAGGGCCCACAGCCCCCTGCCTCCACATCAGTGCCCAAGTCCCAGCTACCACCCATGGGAGGCTGCAGCTGCTGTGGCCAGAGCGGAGTGCAGAGCCCAGCTTTCTCCCTTCACCCCGCCCCTTGGGGCTCCCTGCCCTGCTGTCCTCCCCTAGGGGCTCCACAACCCAGTGGGCAGGACCCAACATGGGAAAGAGGGAGTGCAGCACCATGCCACACTGCCATGGCTGCCAGGCTGAGATGCCCCTTGCTCACCTAGCGCCACCGTGGGCACAACTCCGAGCTGCCACCACTGCCATACCTCAACTTGGCAGCCATGGTGGTGAGGCACTCCTTCCCACAATAGGTCCCACCCACTGGGCCACAGAGGCGACTCCTGGCCAGAGCTGGTCCAGCACAGCTGCAGCCCCACACCCTGCTGTGGGTGCAGAAATCTCAGAGGGCACATTTATTGCGACCCTATCCACTGCTGTTGCGACCCACAGCTTGGGAACTGCTGAACTAGGCTCAGGTGGAAAGCAAGGGTTGGGTCAGACAGGGGCTGTTCCCCTCCTGTCAGCTGGAAGCTATTTCCTTCCCAGCGCTGGGATGGAACCCTGGTGTCCTGGCTCCCAGCCCCTTGCTCCAACCTCCAGTGGTCAAAACACACAGACCCATGCATAGCACATACAGAGATTTCAATACAAAAAGCAAAACACAAGTGCACACCAGCTTCTCCTGGGACAAAGAAAGGTCCCCAGTGACAAATGGATGAAGATGCCCCTTTGTGGGGGTCAGCAGAGTCCTTGCTGGGACTCAGCCGTGCAGTCCATCCTGTCTCCAGCAGCACTGGCGGGAATCGGGGCTGCAGGTTCCATTGTTAATTCCTCCCTAGGTGCTTGATCCACAGAACCTGGAAGAGAGACAGTGGGGCATGTCAGGGGGCATCTAAAGTGGGGGGGGGGAGGGGGAAATCAGGGATTCTCATCTGGGGCAGAACTTTGTGTGGTAGCAATGGGGATATAACCCAGGTGTCCTGGTTCCCAGTCCCTCTGCCTTCACCCCTGGACCCCACTTCCCTCCCAGAGCTGGGAGAGAATTTCAGCCTCCTGGCTCCCAACCTAGCCCCCTCCCACAGCATTTGTGGCAGATGCTGGGATCAATGCGTTATCTGGTCCATCAGCAATCGGGGGGGTGGGAAATATCTTTCTGCTTTTGCAAGTCTGGCTAGGACCAGCTCCCAGCATCTGCCTCCATGGGAGAGGGGGTGTTTAAAAAAAAAAAGAAAAAGAGAATTTTAAACCAAAACATTTATGTCCAGGCAAAAAGAAAAATGATTTAATTTGGATCTTACTTTCCAACCTTCCTGACGTGATTCCTAGTACTGGAAATAAAAAGGATATTTGTTTTTTAAATTCAATTTTCCCTTTTACCCAAAAGGGACCCCCCCCCCCAACAAACCAACCAATCCCAGCCTTGGGGCTCGTGGAATCTTTCCCATTTCCTTTCCCCACTTAGGAGAAAGATTTGGCCTGATTTAGACTCAAAAGAGGTCGTGCCTTTGGCCTGGGGAGGGGGCAGCATTAAATTTGTCCTCAGGACCAAAGAAATCTGACAGAATTGACGCATTTTGTGCAGTCTCTGCGCTGCCCAAGGGTTGGGTTTTTCAGCTCAGATCCAGGCTGGATGGGAACAGTTTGCACAGCCTGTGCCCAGCAGTTTCCCAGCTGCCTCCCCCATGTCTGTCACATCCAAGGCCCCATCTTGCTTCCTCCAGCCCTGAAACAGGCCCTGAAGGGAGCTTCACTCCTCCCCCAGCTTGCCTGAGCTCCAGTTACCAGCCAGGCCATGAAAATTTGATGAGGGCCTTGAAAAGGGTGATGGGTGGTCAGGGGAGCTGGGAGAGGCATGCCACGGGGAGTGGGGCACTTACTTCTGGGCCTCTTCTTTGGGCACAAAGGGGTGGGGCTGGTGTTACCCCCAAGCTGCCTTACCTGAGTTCAAAGGGGGTTGGAGGGCACAGGGCCCGGGTGATTGGTACAGGTCACAGGGGGCAGAGAGCAGGGGCACAGGCCCTGGGAGCTGGGGGCCCAAGGGTCAGGAGGGCACAGGGGGCAGGGCAGGTGTTACCTCTAGACCGTGTCGGGGGGCAGACCCGCCCCGCCCCGCACGGTGCCCAGGGGCAGGGCGCCCCCGCGGCCAGCAGTGCCGGGGCCGGAGCGGCGGGGCCGGGAGCGGGACCAGCGCCGGGAGATCTTGCGGGCCAGGCGGACCAGCGTGCCGCCCTTGGCGGCGTAGTCGCGGCCCAGGTCCTCGGGGGAGGTCTCG